CTGTGCAAATCTATAGTTGGAGGATATGCAACTGTAAATACTTACCAACTGCCAAGTGATTTATTGAACGTGAAGCTTCACAAAATTTTTGTGTGTATACTTAGGCTATTTATGAAAGTGATGTGCAAACTCACATGCAAAATGTCTGCAGTTATTGTGGACAAAAAAAGCACTGATACAATAGCAGAGGATGGAAAGAGAGTCTGTGAACATATTTGCACTGTGAGAAATAATAGTGGAAAATGATTGAGGAATTGTGTTAAAAAAGAAAAATGTCTGCTTAGTCCAGCACTGTTGGGAGCTGGAGAAGTTCCACCTTTTCTCCAGCAGAGTCCGCCGTGGATCCTTCTGACTGAGCCTCCTGCACAGCTGCAGCCCATCAAGATCATCAGAGGATCCACTATATAAGCTGTCTTCAGACCTTGCCTCAACGCCGCAGTGTTGATCCAGTTGGTCAGCGCCTAAGCCTAGACTCTCAGTGAATCTTTGTGACTTTGAATCCAGCCTGGATTCTAACCGTTGTCTCTGTCTTCCAGGAAACCAGTGTCTCCTCTGTGAAGCTCAGGAAGAGCTAACCTGCCGAGCCGACCCTCAGAGCCAAACCTGAAGAACCATAGAGAACTTCCATGCAGCTCTGGACTAAGAGCTGGAAAACCCAAAGCCAAGGTCTGTTCATTACTAGACGTAAGACGCTGAAGCAGCAAGCGGACTCTGCTGATCAACTCCTCTCCAGATCCAACAGTGACTCTCCCAAGGCTAACCTCAAGAACCCTCAAGGTACAATCAGTAATCATCAAGAAATCAAGCTCCAACTTGCAACGCTAACTGAACTGTCTCTCACGCAGACTCCGGTGAACCAGTATCCAGGCCCAAGCCAGAACCAGTACATTCTGTGTGCTTGTAGCAAAATAAACTTGTTAAACTTTTATTCCCGTGTCCGTCAGTGGTGTTCTGCATACTTGGGTCGCTCTTTTAGAACCCATCATGACAAGCACATTAAAAAAAAAAAAAAAAAAAAAAAAAAAAACATTATTGAAGTGTGTTGCATGATTATAAAAATAAAAGAAAATTTTTTAACTTCAATGATTCTTTCAGGGCTCCATAACAGGAACAGTTATGTTTAAACTGCCCGATGCAGGTTTGCAATATACGCCATTAAGTTAAGCAGGATATGCTCTGCAGAAGAGCTGACAAGGTCCGCTTTTCCAGGTTTTATCTTTTTTTTTTTTTTTTTTAACTTTTGTTTTCAACTTTTTTGTTTGCATATTTTATTCTTTGCAATTATTTAGATCAGGCACTTTAAGCACAAATCTGCAAAGAAGGAAAATAGAGGTGTTTTTCTAGTAAATATGAAAACCTGCGTCATATTACAAAATAAGGAAGAGATTGTTATATTCATGCAAATGAGCTTGGTATTGATTTAGGTTCTTTTACTACTACATGTTCATCAGAGACACAGCCTGGGGAAAGAACATGGCTGGTTTTTGTAAAAGCGTTCTATAGCTGAAGGTTAAAGCATAGAGCAGGTGAAACCGAGATTTTAAATTTAAACCTGGATGTAGAGCAGAGAATAATACGAATAGTTAGACATTAACACAATAGACCAAAGAAAATACTCAAAATATTAATCCTGAGTGTTATTTCAGCATGTGAAAGCCAGGAAAAATAACATGAACCCCCTTTACCAATATATTACAGCAGATTTGAAAAGTGCAAATCTTTAAAATCTAAAATGGACCTAAACTTGCAGTCAGCTAAAAACAACATAAACATTTGGATGATCTGGAAAAACATGCAGAATGCAGTATGAAAGAGTTGAACTACTATCCCAGTCACCGTTCAGACCTCAAAGGATTCAAAGCCTAAGACTACCAAGATTAGCCATGGTGTCTGCAATCACTTATTCTGCATGTTGAATCCTGACATTATCCATCCTGACTGGCAGAAGTTACTCTCAATAACTGCTGCCTCTTTTACAGAATAACTTGGTTCAGTTAAAGTCGACAAAAATGATTTAAAGCAGAGGTTTTAAGTCCCACTTATTACATTTTTAAAGAAGACAGATGGTTTAATTTGTCAGCGGTGATTCAGTGATTTAAAAAGATTACAATAATCCCAATATAAAACCTGAAATCAACATTAGCTTTTGTTATCCTGCAGATATTTGCACAGGTGAAGCATCAGCAGGCTGTGTTCCTGCACCAGAGCCGAAATATGAAGCAGTGACGGGTTTTCTCTGAGTGTTTGTGCTCTGAGCTGCAGTCTGACCCTGACATGTTTCCTGCTCACTGGACGCTGTTGAAAACACAGGAGACCTTCCCATCATGCATTTCAGCAGGCAGGGGGGAGAGAAAAAAAAAAAGCTGCTGTAAAATCACCACTTCTCTTTTCAAAAGCCTGCTGCACTCATCCATCCATCCATCCTGTTCCCCCTCTCTGCTCTTTCAGCGACCAGGGGTTGGGGAGGGGAGGGGGGGCAGATTAACACTCAGAGGAGGGGGAGGTGAAGAGAAGAGAAGAGAGGAAAGCGTATGATTCCTCCTGGGACAGTAGAAAGGAGTTAGGAGGGGGAGGAGGAAGGCTAAAAGAGGAGAGGAAGAAGAGGAGGAGGTGCAGCCTCTTTCGGACCGGATCAAGCAGCATTTCAAGGAATTATCCTATTACGTTCTAAGTGGTGTGGATTTCTCTAGATTTACAGCACTAAGATTCTCCTGTTTGCAGCTATTATTCCTGCAGTTTGTACTCTGTTCACTTTAATTAGAACATGTCCACCTCAGTCAAAGCATCCTAACAGCCTGTCTTCAGGTTAGAGCACTGGTAAATAAAGTGTATATTTTGGACAAACTTACAGATTTAAAAAATTCAGCTTCAGGCAGAAAATGTCTAAATGAATGCACCTCTTACTAAAGTCATCCTTTACGTGCTGAAACCATCCTGAAAATCAGCTTAGTCCAGTTTGGTTGATTTGTATGGTTTTAAGGTTGTGAAGCGCCAGTTTGGAGCCAAATCACCTCAAAGTTCTTTAGAAAACATCTCCTGTTTATATGCAGGTGTAAACAATCCCGTTTCATCCAAATTCACGTCAGATTAATTCCTTTAATCCTGCCCCAATCCGATCATAGAGACACATCCAGATCCAAGAGCTCAGTTCGATCCTGATCCCACTATGCAAACATAGTAAATATTATGATGCCAGTTAGGAAGAGGTTTGCTACCCAACAAGGGTAAACTGGTAGCATCAAGGTGTTCATTTAGAGCAGCTTGTGGTGAGAGAATCTCCAAGTAGCAGCACATGTGTCAGGCTCAGCAGATGTGCAACAAGTTCTGTTCAGTGTCGCGTTTAATCCAAACGCAGGTCCTTGACTAGAGGAGTTGGTGAAATCTATGGCGACTGCTTGGTTTTGAAACATTTCTGTTTTTTATGTTAATTTAGCCTTGGTAGCAGGACACAAAGTTGGTCAAAATGGTTTCATTTAGTCTCTATCTGACAGACATGTTCTCCAACATTGATATTGAAAAAGAACCTTAGCTTTTCCACTCTTAGCTGATTCAGCTAAAATTACAGATAAGAGATGAACCATTGAAGTTGATTCTAATCTTCCTCTGTTTTCACCATTGGTCTGATGTCAGCACTGATCTAAGGTCCAAGGCGTCCTGATATCCTCAAGAGACGATTGGTTTTACAGCAGACAGTAAAAAATAAAACCCAACACTCACTACTGCTGCAGTTTATCATCAAATGTTTCCACTGGTTTTGCTCTTGGTTCACACTTTGTTTGACATGCAAGAAATTCCCTATTTGCTAATTCCAGCTATTTATTTGCAACTGTTTTATTCATCACTTTTATCTTTCATTAAATTACATTAAAAACCTTTTACTAAAAGTAAGTGCAGGATGAAAGTCCAGTTATGGGCCAACCAGAAATGTAACAGCCAACAACTACCCTAATAAATCAGGCAGGTTCTTAATTAAAGTAATATATATTAATACAATATTGAAGATACAGTTAATATTTCCAACCTAATTCCTGTATGATGAGGTACTACAACTAAGAAGTTGAGTAAGAAAGTGCCAGGATAAATGGTGTTTAGGATTTACCCCCGAACTGGGAAATCAGATTGATTGTCTCCATGGCCACACTTAACTATGAAAAAAAATTTTCTATGCAGTGTTTTGGGCATTTAATCTGCATTAAAAAGTATTGTCATCTAAACAGTAAAATAATTGAGTGTAAAGCTGGCTAAAAAGGCACGTAAACCAGAAAGAACTGCAAGAAACTTTTAAAATTTAAAAGTTTACAAGTGTTGATGCAAGTAGAAGCATTCACAAAAAATGCAGAGGTTGGGTAAAGTTGTATTGCCCAACTTGCTGACTAGGATATTCATACTTCCAAGCATTCCATTTAATGTTTTCTATACGAATTAAATATACCAGGATTTCCATGATAGTTATTTTAACATCAGCTATTTACCCTTTTCTCATAGCGGGCCTGATCTTTAAGGATTCCCAAAAAAGTAAGATCGAAAAAGACATGCAAAAGATAAGACCTGGAAACCAGTTCAGTCCATACTGTTTGAATGAGTAAATTACATGTGCTTGTGGCAGTTTGAGAGTCGCTGTAAAAGAGAGATTAAGTTCTAAGTCAAAGATCATAATGATAATTAGGCCTGGCCTAAAGCATAAGCTAACTAGGCAGCTTATCAGGTTTCAAGGGCAACTCTGAGGCTCCAAAGAGCAAGTAGAAAATACATACATATAGTTTATGGCATGTACTGTATATTGATTTCCTATTAATGGTAAAATTGCGATTTAAAAAAATATAGGGGAGAGTGGGGTAAGATGAGCCATTTTTTACTTATGTTGTTCTGGACGTAAGGAAAAATTACACAGAAATAGAATGAAAACATATTATTTTATTTTAGGATGTCTCCTATTAAATGAAATTATCAGAATGCATCTCTGACAAAGCTGCCCAAAATAATGACTTCTCAAAAAAAAAGTGCTCCTGTGGCTCAACTTGCCCCAGGTTAGGGGTAAGTTGAACCAAGTAAGTGGGTAAATTGAGCCATCTTGGGGTAAACTGACCCTATAGGTTTTAAAATGTAAACATGAGCATATTGTGCTAACAAACAGTTTGAAAAGTTTTGAACTTCTGAGAACAAACCACCAGTCAGTTTCAAAACCATTTAATCAAAAGAACTATTCAATATTCCAACTGTCAAGGTTGCAGAGGAACATGAACTGTTGCTCCCTCCTTGCAGTTCCTCCAACCTTTTGAGGTTGAGGTAGCTTCTTCAGCACATCACTCCGTGGGAAAGATGCCTCATCATTTTTCTTGAATGCAAAGGTGGGTTTCTTACTGCCAGTGATCCCTCGGATTCTTCTCAGAAATCTGGCACTCCGTTGCCTGCAAGGCTGTCAACGAAGCCAATGTAATGGTGGCTTCTGCATTTGGATGCAAATTTTACGATGACAAAGTCACCAACTACCAGATCTGAGACATCTGGTTCACTTCTTTAATCACTGGAACTCTCGTGCTCAGAAGGAGAGATGGTGGCGTGCCATAAAATTCCTAAACCAATCGTTACCTTAAAAGGAAATGGTACTGTATTGAACTACACAAGATAAATTGGTCTATGTCAACCTACTGAGTTATGTTGTTTCTTACACTTCCTACCGGCTAAACCTTTCTCTCTCCAGTTGCTGGGGATAGGAATGTTGTTTCTGATTGCCAATTCTAATGACAGTTCCCGGCATTTCTTTGGTTTAAGGCCATGGAACTGGTCTGCGAGCTGCTTGATATGGTCTGCTAGGTCCTTCTCCATCTCCTCTGAAAAGACTCTCCTTGCTTCTGCTGTTCCACTGTACCCTGCTGCTTTTACTTCCTTTACCTCCCTCTTCTTTATGTATCTCCTCAATGTTGACCTGTCAATATTTCTCTCTTTTGCCACTGATCTGATGGACTTTCCAGCCTTGACATCATTGGGTGCTCTTTCCAGCGCTTCAAGGGGTGTTGAGCCCCAGTTTGTTTTTCTCTTGTAGGTTCTTGGCATGATCCATGTTCTACAATGGTAAACATTTGACAAACCAGTTGAGTATACTCAAAGAAATACTATTTTATACGTCTGAGAGCGCTTGCCTTGTGGTGGGGTAAGTTGAACCATTTGCTCAATTTACCCCATAGCCTTTGGCTCACTTTGCCCCATAGCCACCATTTTGGAAAAAAATGGGCTAGCTTAGAAATTCAGGCTAATCTTTAGTGAAGTGATTCACATGATTTTATACGTAAGAAAATCACCAACAAGTATAATATATAATTTTAGACCCAGATAAATTTGCTTTGATATAACAGTCATTTTACCTGATATGCTGTAAATTTACTTAAACAAGCAAAAAACAGTTTCTTGTGTAAAAAAGTACTTACCCCTTCTCCCATGTGCTTGTCTTTATCACAGCAAGATGGAAATGATTGGTGCTTCCTGAATTTATGGTCACATGACAAAACATGTGAACGGTTACCTAGATACAAGGGGTGGGTCAACTTACCCACTGGCTCATCTTACCCCACTCTCCCCTATAAATACATACATTTTTTTAATTTAGAAATCATCACTTATAACTGCAAAACAGGCATTAGAGATTATCTGTAGAAAGGAAATACTGGCATTAATTAGTGTTGAACAACAAATTCAGCCTTCAGACTCTTTATACATGTGGCACGATGCACAACAGGATTCAAACCCATAGTCCCAGGTGGAAGTCATGCACACTGCCCAGTCAGCCAAAGGGATATCCCCTTGGCAAAGTAGCCAAGGCACATTATCACTGAAAGGTATAATGACAGGATCCGCACAGTTACAGACAAATCATCAATAACTTTGAAGCCACGAGAAACACAAAGCACAGGTTTAAATCAGTAGATGGAATATTGAGCAAAGTAGAATAATATAAAATGTGTGCATGAACATAGCTTCAATTTTTTTTATAGAGGCCTTCAATGCAGCTACATACATTTAAATAGTTTAGGATGTAATTATTCAGTTTTGAATTAGTTAATTTATTTATTAGTGCCATGGTTTCAGGTAACGATTTTGTTACTTTCATTTATCTATTTATTTTCATTTAAATATTTGCTTATTTTTGGTTATTGTACTGCAGATAATTTTAGCACATTTTGCAATTTTATCATGAATACATTCTATACCAAATAATAGAAATATTGTAACTGCTCAACCAGAGCTGTGATGAGTTTAGATAAGGTGTGTGAATTATCCAATCATCTGACTATTGACTAAGAGAAAAAGATTGCCCCAAAATAAAATGTAGCTTAGGGCCCCATGGAAGCTTGGAGAGCCCCTGATAATACATAACAAACATAAAAACTACTTGTATGTCATTACTAATTCTGATTAATGTCATGGTGCACTCAACATATAAGCATTTTAAATGTCTAAACAATGTAAAGTAATTGAAAAAATCTGAAATTGCTGGCATTTCTGCTCCGACTTCCAAACTTCCTCTGACAAAGAGGGAGCCACTGTCAGATCTACAGCAGTGAGGTTAAGCTTTATACAGTCAAATTTATCTCCACAAAAAAATCATACATAATAAGCCAATGATAATTTTATACAACAAAGTTGTCATTCTTGGAGCCCTAAAGGAACATTAACGGAGAAATGAAAATCACAATTATCAGAAGTTAAAAACGAGCACTTCAGTCAGGAGCACCTATGGGGAGATGATTGTTCTCTGGTTGTTGTTAATGTTCTGTTATTTTTATTTGTTTTTGGTTTTGGTTCATGCTGCTTTAATGTTTGTTGGCTGGTGCTGACATCTTTTCCACATTTATATTTTTCAACTATTGTTAATTCTGACAATCAATTACTGTATGTTTAACATGTGCAAAGACTCCCATCGTCTGTTATTATAACTATATGATTGCAGAAATGTGTGCAGGCAAATTACACCTGATTTTTAAACATGTTAAATATAGATGCAAAAAAACCTCTGCCCACAGACAGCTTCAGGTTTAATAAATCTTCCTGAAGGCGGTAATTATTTACATTTTCTAATCTATTAACCATACAGTATTTCTGGAGATATAGTCATTAGAATACGATCTACATTTTAAAAAGGCATACACACAAAAAGCGTGCACCTGCTGTTCTGCCTATTTTGCACATTCAATAATATTTACACCTGCTTTTTAGACCAGCATATGCGAGCAGATTCACGTCTGTTTTAATACACTCAAATCTTTTTAGGATGAGGCCCTGGATTAGACCCTTTCTAACAGTGAAAGAGAACTAATGCTTCAAACACTCAGTGGATAGCAGAAGTTTGGGACAAAGTGCTAATTTATAGTGTGTATTTCAGAATTAGAATTATCTTTATTGGCTAAGAAAGTGTTTACAACCAAGGAACTGCATTTTTTTATTGATCTTCCATGTTCAGAAGAGGGACTGGAAAAACTCTCTTTGTGATGTTTGGGTTTGATAAGTAGATTTCTGCAGCACCACCCTGAAGGTTAAAGTCTAAACGGTATCCAGTATCTGTGGGGTCTGCAGAGACGTTAGATGCCCCTTCTCTGACTCTTGACCTGCACAGGTCCTGGAAAGGACCTGTTGCAGTCTTGCAGTCTTGCACCAAACAAGACAGGGCAGATTTTGCTGCAGAAAGCACTTTCTCTGCTGGGCCTGCTTTTAAAGGAGTTATAGAATGCGAAACCAAGTTGGCATTGTCATAGATGGATAACAGTAGTTCAGTGGGTGAAATGGACGTACAGAGAAGTTCAAACCCGATCGACACCTCCTTTCTTTGCAAATCTCACATTTCTAAACTGCATCACAAAAGGATCCGACGGCTTTACATGCATGGATTATTTTCATGTATCACAAGATCCCGGTAGAGTTTGATGCAGGGTCAGCTAAACTTCTTTTAGTGAAATGAGGGGCTGTTCCGACCATAAGGGCATCACAACGGCTGTAAGTATGAGTCTGTCACTAATCTGTTGATAGCAATGCTAGCATATGAAGGGCACTTTTTTTTGGGGGGGGGGGGGGGGGGGGCCCGAATACCAGTGGGGCATTCGAACCAAGTCATCAGCTCCGTGGCTGGTCTGAACCAGACCCAGTCCGCCTGCCTCACCATGCTTCCCCCCGCCTGCCCAAGCACGGGGCCACCGTTGTCCACGCTACTGTCACCAGGTCGGGTTTGGTCGCTCCGTCCCTGCTTACTCACTGCCCCTGTCCGCCGGACTTCCCAGACCAGTCCCAGAGCTGACGGCTCGGTTCTGCTGCGCTGTAGTCGACCAAAATCCCGGATGATTTTGAAATTCCCCCCAAACATTTTTTTAGGCATTAAAAGTAGGACATGTCCGGGAAAAAGAGGACGTCTGGTTAGCCTATCATGTCAACAATTTGATATTTCAGTGAGTGAGTGCTTGTTGCTATGATGCGTCTTTGCTCAGCAGCTTCGCTCCTTGTAAACCAACCAATCAGTGCACAGCTCATCTAAATATTCAGGGCCATACCATAAAAGGAAGAAAACCTGTCGTTCCATTCTGAGTCTTATAGTCAGGCTTGCATTATGGCTCGTAGAACAGCAAATATGTCATTTTCAGCCCGACCAATGTTACACACCCTATTCAGAGACCTTAAGGACAAACACCAAATACCCTATATAATCATTCTATGCCCTCTTTAAAGGTGTTTTTAGTTGAGGACCATCTCCCAAGAAAAGGTATTTCCTAGGAAGAGGAAGCAATCTACAACAGACAGAGTGGTGTAGAGAAGGTGAGGGGAGGCAGGGATGGAGGTCGCTCATAAAAGACGTAGGTCTCAAGTACATTGTAAGTAAATATTAAAAAAACTTAATTTTAGTCAGTGTAATAAATAGCCACACAAAAATGACCTAAATGGGGATAAATAGACAAGAAATAAGCAACATCACTTAAAAACAAAACACCCACAAAACCCTTAAAAGAGTCAGAAGAAATCTATATAATTTATGTTATATTATTGAACTTTGGTTAAAACAAAATTATGCTTTTATTTGGTTAGTTTTGAAAAGTGTGAATTTAAAGACTCTTATTCTGAAAGATCACATACAGTAACCCATGTGACCATCTCTGGCAAATCTGGTTTTATGTCTCTTGGCTCTAGAAAACAGCAAATAGAAATAATGAGAGAGAAGCAGGCATCCAAATGGAGCTCAGGTGTGTGAAAGAAAAAAAGGGTCATGGAAACAATGAGTAAAGAGTCAATAGAAGTTGTCTGAATACATGTTTGCAGTTTGAAGGAGTTTGTACTTATTTTAGCATTTTTTAAAAGTAATTTTTTCTCTTTTGAGTTGAGCTTCCTTAACTGGATGGTGAGTAAAAATGTATATTTAATTTCCTGTGAGTAACATGAGTAATTATTTTATTTCTTTTTATCAAAATATAAGCCTTTTTATGTTGTTTTCTTGTAAAGATTTGTGGCTATTTGCAATGAGTTGGTTTTGGGGTGAAGCATGGCTTCCTCTTCTGATGTTGCAGTCTCATTTCAAATGCTGTTAGTGCTAAGTTTCACTGGAAACTCAGTAAAACTGAGTTTAACAGACATTTAAAGTCATTTAGTGTTTGATGATTTTCCATTTTAAGTATCATAGGTTATTTCATCTGGCTTGTAATGTTCTGCTGAAAAGTGGATGGGAAAAAAACATATCTGAGTTGATAGCTGAGCTTGATTCCATGATTGAGAAACAAGATGGAGATGTTTCCTGTGAGCTCTTAGTTGCAGGAGTTACTTTTTTTGCTGAATCTTGTTAATAATTTAATTAGACACACAGAGTTTTTCGGTCTTTTGCTAAGTTACTTTATGTTACTCCTTGCTTTTATTTTATTTTTTTTTATCTTTTTTGTTAGCACTTTTTTTGCTGTTACATCAGTGTTAGAAGTGTGGGCAATTTTTCTACTTGACACTAGAACAACAAATTGTTCAAACTGGGAATTAAGGTAGCTTCCCTTTTAATACAACTGTAAGTTAACTCAAAAATAATAAAAAAAAAAAGATAAAAATCTGTTTGTTATATATATGAACAGTTGCATCTTGAACTTAAATAGAGATAAAAACAAAACAGCAATAACAGGTTAAGAAAAAAAACTATCCCTTTAAGACCTAATTATAGGTTCAAAATGTAAAAGGCAATTGTACCTAAACCAGATAAAAGAAAAACAGGAAATTCTTTTTTTTTTTTTCCCACATCAACAAAATAATAAGCTGGTAGTTTAACTTTTCTCTGGTCTGTGGTCACTTATACACTCACACCTATTTGCTGCTCCAGTAACCAAACTGAGCACTGCTTTGGTTCTAGTGTGTTTTCTTATCCTACTGCAGCAACATCATAAGCACTATTTATACATGTTTCAAATGTTTGTTTCCAAAATTTTATGTGTGTTTCGGTGTTTGTCAATATTTTAAAAGCTTCAGTGTGTGATGCAGTTTTTAATATTTTATTGCCGGGCTGAAACAATTAATCAGATTAATCGTGATTAATCGATTATTGAAATAATTGTCAACTAATTTAATAATCGATTAATCCTAAACTGGAGTATAGAGACTCTAAATCATGCCTTTAGGTGAAAGAGCGGCCCACTTGGAGCAGTAATTATACCAAAATTGTTTAAAAATAATAAACATTTTACATTTAATGTAAAACAATTTTTATCTGTCAATATGCTCAATCCACGACTGCAAACGTTAGACTTTCACCTGGTATCATTTCATAAAAAGTCTTCTTTAAAGAATCTTTATTAATCAACAAAAATATTCTAAAAGATTAATCGATTTGCAAAATAATCGTTAGTTGCAGCCCTATTTTAATGTGCGTTTCAGTTTGTTTTCATTTGGTTGTTCTTGCATGGTCCAGTGTTTCACTCAGTGCTTAAATGTGTTTTTAGGTGAGTGTTTCCTTGTTTTACCTTTTTATCAGTGCTATTTAATTTGAGTTGTAGTTTTTCAGTGCCTGTTGGTCTGTTTCATTAATATTTTGTGTTATGTTACATTTCTGAGCATGCTTCTGTATGTCAATGAGTGTTTTAGTCTTTCGTTCCATATTCCGGTGTGTGTTTCAGTTTGTATTCTATTTTTACAGTATTTGTTTACCACAATCTGTTTCTGTGTCTTAGTGTTTTTTCTTTGTGCAAAGTTAAATTAAATGTTTTCATTTTTTTTCTCACACTGCTCTAAAAAAAAGTGTTGCCTTCATTGACTTTTTTCCTCTTTCTCATCCAGCTGCATCCTGTTCATAGATGGTTTTCACTTTAGTTTTTCCAGATAAGTGGCGGAATTTGTGTTTGTTTTATTTTTGCAGAACCGGGGAGTTTTTCTTAATCTTTTCAGGCTACCTTTCCATGTTAATGAACGGTGAAATAAACAGTTAGGTACCAAGCGTCTGTGCAGCTGCTTATGTGGACTGCATGACAATGCGTTATCATTTAGCTGTGAACATGTTGAATATGAAACGTTACCTGTCGATGATGACAGGGTCCGACGGCGTCTCGTTCCTGTTTCCACAGCTCTTCTTATCGCAGCAGCGACTAACACACAGAATGACAAACAGCTTTGTTAGTGACAAAAAGATTCATCCTCATAGATCCTGCTGTTGAGGTCTGGTCTCCATGAGTTTAGGTCTGAGACACTGACACCTAGTTCCCGCTGATTGTTTGTTAGCAAAGAACAACTTTGATTGTTCCCAGCATAACTGCTTCAATCCTGTTTAGGTATTGTCACCTTTAAATATGAGCTTTTACGTTACAATGTGTGTGTGGGAGTTTGGCTTCAATCAAAACCTTCTGAGAAATTTTTAAACATGAGATTTCTTTTTTGTTTGTTTGTTTGTTTTTCATCTGGGCCCATTGTTTAAACCAGAACAGCCCACAAGAGGGCGCTCCCCACAAATCGCTATTTTGGTTCACCTTTGTCTACATATCACTCACTACCTGCAGGTAGGAAGAGTTGCCGCTTGTGTAATATTTTAGCTAATGTGTAAGAGTCCGGGAAAGATTGCATATTGCTATTATTGCCAATTCGACATCCACATGAATGTGTATACAAATATTTAAAATTCTCATGAACAAGCTCACGAGAACAAAAATGGGTATCAAAATAGATCAGAATGAGGTCTATTATATTTTTTTTCCTCCTAAAAATGATTTAACATTCAATAAACATAATTTAAAATTATTGTAAAATGCTAGGTTATGATTCCTTTCATTTATAACCCCTGCTTCTTTAGGAAATATTTAATTTCTACATTAATAAAGCTGAAATGAGCTGATCCCAGAGTGCGTTGGGTTAGCCGAAACCTCTAAATCATAAACCGGGCTTCCTATGTTGACCAAACTAAGTTTAGTACTGAAAACAGGGGAGATGTATCTCTACACTTTATCCCTTAAGATTAAGTTCTTGGTTTCTATGACCCAAACATGAAAGACAGAGGGGCAAATTCATCAGTGTGTTTGTGCTATTTAGAACATGGAAGGTACCAACCAAAGTATTGACTGATGATGCATGCCTTGCTCGCTTTAGTGGTGCTTGTTGGTGTTCTGGTTCTGACTAGCACCAATCTATTGATTTATTTGATATAATGTGTAAATCCCAGAGGCCAGTGTAATTAACCATACAGTATAAATCTTTGTTGATCTGATGGCTTATAGTTTGGAGAACCTCTGTGTGTTCAGGTGTTCTTACCTGCACATGATCTCATGTGTGAGCAGAACTCGGCACATCTCTGGGTTCTTGTCCTGGCCCTCATAGATAATGGCCTGAAACAGAAATGCATTCTTTAAATGTAAATATTTGAACTCAGAGAGGTTCTTCTTCTTCAGACTGAAGCTGCAGAACCTTTGTCTTGAACAGGGTTAGTTTTTGGTGATTGCTGTGACTGTAATGAGCAGGCAGAAAAGAGTCATGCACTGAGCTGCAGGCTAGAGACAGACAGCTGGAGCTAAAAGTCTCCACACATTATTGCATGCTCATTTAAATCACTCTAATTAGATAACTTTCTGTATTTAAACGCAGCTTATTTCTATTAGTGTGACTGTAGAGAACTGACTGATGCTGGCGGCTAATTCCCATAAAACGTATATCTGACTGTGCCCCCTGCAGGCTGCACGGGTTCTGGGTTCACCTCCTTTTAAGCAGACAGGAGATCAGCTGATCATCAGTTTGAACTGTGATTAGAAGCCTCATATACAAGAGTGCACAGCTTTTATACTAAAGGTTGGCAGTAGGGACAAAAAGAAGAACCTAAGGCGAATAAAAATGATAAAGATATAGAAAACTGTTTACCAGCGTTACCACACCTTTCCTCAAACATTTTAATGTGAAGTGAATTGGGAGCAGCTGCAGGATGCGCATGGACCAATACTACCTTTAAATGAATATGCAAATAAAAAAATAGATATCCTCCTACCAAAAATCCAAATAACCATGAGAACAGATATGGTGAATGTATTACAGTATTGTTAAAGTCTGTTGTTCTAGCAACTGAAAGTAAGGTGACTTATCAGTGTTAAATCACACTGTGTCACTACGGACGACTGTTGGGGTTTCTCCCCCTTTAGGTCACGACTCCTACAGTAGGTGGAACTAACCACCCACTGTGCACTGAAATTGGTGCTTTTAATGCCTTATACACTTGACCTTTTAGTTTCATCACAGAGAACCTTCTTTGTGAGAACCTTAACCCAACTGTTTGTTAAGGAGCTGAAACTGTAACAAACCTCTATGTATGGAATAGACGTGGTGAAAACACTGGAAGATAATATGTGATTCCATCTAATCTATGATCAGCCATCTTTTATACTTAAGCCCCATTTACGCTACCCTCTGAAAACCGATCCGTGCCAAGCTTGGATCAGTTAACCGTGCCTAGCTTGGTTCCTTACGACCATTTGACACCACAGTAGCACGGTTCCTAGCCTCCTAGTGGCGATCTACGGTACTACTGCTCTATAGAGTTAAACCAGCATAGCGGTGCCCGTATCATTCAGGAGGTTATGTTCTGTTATCATTGTGATATTTCATTGTTTGCAGAGAGTCAGGCGAAAAGGCAGCCTCTGGTGAATTTACTGGACAGAGTCGGCTTTTGGGAAATGGATACCACAAACGACAGTCTAATCAGGGCTTACAGACGCAGGGAACAACGACAGATGTTGAGGTTCATCACACTGCTAAGCAGAATCATCACTGGAAATCGTGTGTCACGGTAGGGACGCTTATATTTTTATTAATGTAATTTCATGATTGCGGAGTCTGACTGTAAGGAGATCAGACATGGGCAATGTGGAGTCAACAAGTCATCTCCATGTCATGTATTTGTTCTACCCAGCCACTGAAGCAGGTGAGTCCAATCTTCACCGTGAATTAACCTGTGCAGATTGGACTCACCTGGTTAATTGGCTGGGTAGATTAAATACATGACATGGAGATGACTTGTTGACTCCACATTGCCCATGTCTGAAGGAGATGAGGCGGTCTGCTCATGCGCTCTCAGTTATTTGAGAACTGAGCCCTACTGATGAAATATTACCAGTTTAGTGTACAACAGTTCAGTTGTGTCTGGCGCAGTCCGGTTCAGTTTTGAGTGCCATTTACACTCAACACTTATCTCGGTTACCATGTGTAAATGGGGCTTCAGAGAACCAATCTATACCCACAGTCCAACACAACTGATACAAACCAAAGAACAAACATTCATATAACCACTACACAAAATTTGTATCAGGCTATGTACATGCAGCCAGTACAGACAAAACCAGTACCAACCAATAAGACACACAGTACAGACACACAAGTACAACAAGTGCCAACCAATGGATATACAATGATAAAACCAGTATGGACACAACTAGTATAAACATCTATAAAACCAATGTATACACAACTGGTACCAGCCTGTACACACACACCAAAACACGTATGTTGTGTCACACTCCTTGTGGGGGCTTTCCATTGACTTCCGTTCATTTCCCATTAATTCTTATGCCCTAACCCTGACCCTTACCCTAACCATAACCAACTATACCGAACGCTAAACCTAACCTAAACTCAATTCACACCTTTGTCCTAAACCTAATCCCCAGCCGAAGAAGAGAACTTCCCCTTATAGGGACCAGCTGTTGGTCCCCGCAAGTACCTACAGTCCCCAAAATTGAGTATATTCCTGGGAAATTGTCCACACAGAATAACAAAAACATGGCCAACCAGCACTAACTACTCTACATACACGAAACATCTAGTATTGGACAGTACATACACACACAAATGCATATTACAAACCAGTACACTCACACAAGTGCACACATACGAACCAATGGCTATACAGTAATACAACCAGTACAGACACAACCAGCTCCAACCAACAAACATAAATAAAACCAATGTGCAAACAGCTAGTACCAACCAGTACCAGTCTGTACACACAGTTCGAACCACTGCATATAGTGCCATCCAGTAAACACACACATACACGAATACAACCAGTGCATACACGCAAGTACAGCACACAGTACAAACCAATGGATAGAACCAGTACAGACAAAACCAGTACCCACCAACAAACAACCACCAATAAAAGCAATGTACATTCAACTGGTAGCAATCAGTCGATGCACCTACACCACTACCAACCATTTCACCAACAGATCCAGCTCATGTAAAATATGTTTACATGCACAAAATGTCAAATTCAAAATTACATTTGTTCAGATTAAAAAAATGGAAATTAATCAGATAGTAATATTTATATGGGTATGAGTAATCAGAAGAAAAAATGGCAGAACAGATGACAAATTTTTCACACAAATATGTCAATTGGAATATTCTGATAGCATTTAGCCGAAGCGTCTGGCCCCTTGAAGTGGAAATGCATCATTTTGCAGAATGCACATGCGCACTCCAGTCATCTTGCCTCAGTCAGAAAAACTTGATCCTGACAAGCGTCTATGTGGAAACTGATCCGATTTGACAGGTTTAAACCACTCCTCTCATTTGGATGACAATTTCATTTCAATCCTTCCAAACCTGATCAGAATATTCCAACTGGCATGATTACTTGACACATTCAGTCGTTTATTCAGATTACTTATGTCCATGTAAATATAGCTACTGTGTTGTTAGTTTAGAAGATTAGATCTAGATTCTGGAATAAAATCACTTCCTTAATAGATTATTATCAGATTTCAGATGTGAGTGTTTTCTTCTGTTTTTGGGTTAACACAGGCTAAGTAAAGAAAAGGCTGAAAAATATGATAAGTGAAAAAGGAAAAGGGGAAGGGAGTGATTCAAAGGTGGAGGAGGACAATTAGTTTCCTTAATCCCTCACCTGTTTGGTCATGGAGTCGATGAGTCGGACGTAAAGGTCTTGCTCTGTTCGAACGCCTGTACACAAATGCAAACAGTAAAACTCACGGTCATGCAGTAGAAGATCTTGTTAATCCGAATGTTTCAGCTTTTCCATGCACTAAAAGAAGCACACCCACCATTGCTGTAAAGCAGCTGAAGTTTGTAATGAATCCCGTTGTTGGTTTTCTCTCCACTTGGTTCCTAAAACAGCAGAAGAAGCTGGTCTGATTAATGTGTTCAGGGTTCATTTATTTAAATTGAGCGTGTTAGGTTTATCATACTTAGATATGAGCTTGTGTTTCTTTTCAGTGCCCTAATCGAGATTTCAGGAGAGATTTCTGTTTTCCTCAAAAGTCTTTTAACTGTAAACAGTTTTGGTTGCATTTATTTAATCACACTTGATCCAAAGGCTTGAACATGTTAAGAATGAAGCACATTCATAAAAAGGATTTGCTTTTGTTTTTTGTGAGTTCACTTCAATCAACAAGGCAAGGTAAATGCATATCCTGGCATGGGTTGCTTAATTTGCCCTTTTGTCCTATTTTATCAGTAATTTTAAACGGGGTTTTTTATTTCTGGCAACACATTTGGGTTTCCTTCACCTTCTGGCATGAGAACCTGCATTTACAAAGTCTTGTCAATGTGTTTGTTTTCTATGACCCGTCCTCCCTGACTTTGTTCTACTCACCTTTTCTTTTTCCACAAAGTCGACGTAGGCGGTGCGTTCGATCTCAACGGGCTGCCCCTGCCGGTCGTACAGCGCCAGAACGAAGTGGAAGAAATTGGATTTCCTCAGATTGGACGGAGGCTGCTTCTCAAAGTGAGCACGAGCTAATCCCACCCCACTGAAAACAAACACATATGAGCATTTAAAACCTTTACAGAGCAAAGATCCTATAAAAAAGAAAACATTGAACATACATTTTTTTTTATACCATTAGTTTAATCTTTCATAAAAAGATGTCAGATTTGAGACAAAGAACCAAATTTAAAACTGATAAATAAAAAGGCAGAGATTCACCTTTTGAGGTGGTTCATTTTAAAGTATAGTTCCAAAATAAAATTTTTTTTTTTTTCTTTCCCTATAAAGTAGAATATTACTATAATTATTTTTTTTCTTATGCATAATTGTGTTTAAAGCTAAAACCTATTGTGGGGGGTAACGCTTCATTTAAAGTACAGTAATTTCACTGCTGTCTTTCTGCACCTGTAATAATCCAGTTTCAGTAAATATGAATAGATGGAGATGGTTTAGATAAAAACAAAAGTTCTTGGTGCCGCTGCAAGGTGTAGAAGCAGAGCTTAAATAAAGTGCTCCTCTGAGAACAAACTGCAGGATGGCAACACCTGATCGCACACATCAAATCTGTGCAACATGCATGTTTGTGACGTGTTAACGAGTCTGATTTGTTTGTGAGAGATGATTAAAACCCAAAAAAACAAGCTTTTCACGTGGCTGCTGCTTCGGGCCATGTCAAGGAGATAAAGTTAAGAGCAAACAGAGAATCACAGCGGAGTCACGACTGATTAATATTCATAGAGAAGAAGTCAAACTGCAGCTTTGACCCCGACAGTAAATCTGCTCCTCATTACAATATGACTGAGAACACCAGGAGCGTTACTTTCAGCCCAGGAGTGCGCCCCTCTCCCTCACACACACAGACACACTTAAATATTTAATGATCATCATCAAATATAAAATCTGTATTACAGAAAAACATCCTGAAACATTTGGCAATAAATGTACAGTAATGTTTTAATCTTGATAAATCAACCCATATTAAATGATCTATAAGGGATTAATTTAAACAAACATTAAACTTGTTTATCTATTTAAAATCCTCATTTAAAGCAGTTTTACTACATTTGTTCTGAAATTGGATTTGACTGGAAAGCTAATTATAAAATGTACAAATTAAAGGGCCTTTGTGAGTCATTGTAATAATTACGCTGCAGGATCACATTAAGGTTCAATTTAGACTTTACTGTATAATCCCAGAAATAATCAGCCCTTCACAGACGGTTATTAAGGAATCCGACTTTCATTTACATTTTTTGTGTTAAATTAAAAATTATTTGCATCCAGATTAAATAGTTTCGGATTAATTTAGAATAAATTTTAGGTTTTGCGTCACTAAATGTAAATCATCACATTCCTATAAATATTTTAACAATAAACTTGTATTAAGAGTTGATTAGAGATTATTTAATTTGCCTGAAAGTAAATCATTTTTTATTTGATTTCAGCTTTCTGTTTAATCTCAGGTTCGGGTTCTTTGTGGTAATATATCTGAGGGGGTTTTAAAATTTTATGTATTTTAATTTTACCACACATTTTAATTAATTAAGGGTGACATCAAACCCAGAAATATTAGAGGAAATGTGGATGTCTGAACACAGACAGCTGAATTTAAATTATGCTGCTTCTATTATAAAATAAAAACAAAGTTCAGTTTATATTTAATTTTCTAAGATTTTCTTCTATAAGCTAAATAGATAATTAAAGGAAAACTTGACTTAATTACCTGCTATATACTTTCCCTTTTTCCGTTATGAGGAGTAGATCCCTTAAAACTGAATTAGTTTTTTTTTCTTACTAAAAATATTTTAAAAAATAAAAAAAATATTCTTGCTATTTTGTCAGCATTTATAACACAGCTCACATTAATAATACAGACTTTTTTTTATTCTTATACTTAATTGTTTTTCATCCCTTTTTTGTTTCAAATACATTTTTTTCTTCCAGGTGCAAAATTATACTAATCAACCGTGCATTTAATTAGAAAATACTAGTTTCTTTATTTTTTCTTTTTTTCTTTTTTAGGAAGTAGAAATAATTCTCAGCTTTCTGTCTGAACTCAGAATAAGATTAAAAACCTCAGAGAAGACTGCTGGGACTACAGCTCCCAGGATTCCCTGGGGGAGGCTGCACTTTACCTTTGAGCGGCTGTGTTGGCGTCCACCACGCCAGCTGAGTGCATCCAGGAGCGAACGGCCAGCGGCTCCTCCTTCATGCTGGCTGTTGCCCCGCGAGGCAGGCTGTCCTGGATCCCGAACATCCCACAATCAGATGCTCCAGCAACAAGAAAAAAGAAAACAAAAAGCACCAGAAGAAGAAGAGCTGGAAAGTAGCTGAAGATCTAGGGCTCTACAGGACGGACCGGATCTTCTCAATAAAAAAACATTTCAACAAATGGAGGAAAAATAGGAGCTCGAAGACCGAAGAGGAAAAAAAACTGTAAAATCTCTGTTCAGGAATGAAAAGTTTTTTATTGGTGCTAGAACTTTCAGTTGTTCAGCTTTATTTCACTTTTAACTGATAAAACATTTTATTTTTTTTATATTGTCAATCAACAGACAAGAAACCCGCAGAGACAGAGAAAAAGGAGGAGGAGGAGGAAAAAGAACTAAAATCCTCAGAGAAAACAGGAGGAAAACGGCTTCGGACGGCGAATCGAGTGTGAGCACTCAGCCTTTTTTCTTTTCCCCAAAGAGAGAAGCAGAGGCGGCCCGCCCGGGATGGAGGAGAAACTCTCAGCCCTGCGGCCCCACAGGACTGGACGCCAAAACCCAAAAACCCCACGGGTCTTCCTCCAAGCCGCTGACATCACAGCGGGGGGGTGGGGCCTGGCCTTAAAAGGAGAGAGAGAGGAAGGGATGGAGGAGGAGGAGAAAGACCCATCACACACAGATGGAGCAGGTGTGTGTGCTGCACCGTCTTGCACCAGTCCCACCAGTAAGTGAACAGGTTCCTGTGGAAGCATTGGCGACGCGAGGAAGCTCACACCCCCAGAAACACAGGGAAGCAGAACCGGGCCCTGGACAGAGTCTGTCTGAGTTTGAACCTGCTTTCTTCAAACCGTCGTACGTCTGACCTTATTTTTCTGCAGAAAGCTTCAGAGGAATCCTGTCTGAAAAGCCCCAAATCCCAGAACAACTGCAAGAACCCTGAACCCAAACAGCAGAATGACATGTCTTTGCACACCTCTTACTTTGAAACATCTCAACATCCCTAAGCCCCTACAGACCCTGAACTCTAATGTAATGATAACTTGTAACCCAATCATCAGTTCAACTAAGACCCTACGGGCTTCCAGATAAATCTGGCCTTTAAAGAATCCCTTTTCAATTGTCATCATCATCAAACATCTCATTCTGGAGATCATGACAGCCCAGAGTTCTCTAAAGATTAAAAACAAGAATATATCATGGATGAAATGCTCTGATCGTGCTGCTCATTCAGGACGGGCCATGGTTTCAAAGGCTGTTGAATAACTTGGGTAAAATCCTACAGACCACAGGTAGTCAGACTGAGGAACATCTGAGCTCGATAGTCGAATGAAAAGCTTCTGTTCTGCATGTTCCTGCCTCTTTTGTATAATACTACCCAGAAGTATTAGGGGGAAGGGTCCCTGAAGGTCTCTGTGGAACCTGGTCTCCTTCCAATGGATGGTGGTCTGCAGGTTGCAGATAAATATCCTGGATTACTAAGGAGCTCATCTGAGGTATGTTTCCTGTGGGAATCCAGATTATTACCAAAGCAGCTTCTGTCCATTTGGAAGTTCATTGAAGCTCCACAGCTGCAGCATTTCAGTGTTCTTGTGTCGATCCGTTTGGGTCCGAACCTCCACAGAAATTTCTTCATCTTTGTATTTTTGCCTGGAGGAGAGAAATCATCCGCTGCTTGTTATGTTCAGCTGATTAACTCCAAGCTTTCAGTCAGGAGGCGAGAAAAGGCTTTTCACAGTCATGATGTTCCAGTCTTCTGGGGCCGCAGGCCTCCGAGGCTCCGAGGGGTGGGCCGATTCTAGACCACAGAGCTGCAAGACAAAAAGAGGAGAAGGAGACTGGAAAAGAACAGGGATGAAAGGAAGAGATTTATTAATCATTTTGGTGAGAAATGGAATAAAATAGAGCAACTAAAGAAGTTAGTAGTTAATTCCAAGGAAAAACAGGCAAAGGGAATTTAGGAGGAAGCAGGGAGGAATTCTTTATTCCAACCAGAAACTGGAGCTGAGGACTGAAAAAAATTAGGAAGACAAAAACCAAATTCTTCTGATTACAGAACCGTCCCAAAGTTCTGCTTTTTATTTTCAAACCTTCCCAGATCCAATCAATCATTCCTGATCAATACTCCGTAACAACAACATGTTCAGGATAATGAGAGGATCAGACCCTGCAGCTTTCCAGCTCGCACCTTAGTCGCTAATAAAAAGCTGATAATTCAATTTAAGCGGAGGAATAAATGAGCTGTCTGAAGGAGGGAGGAGTGATGTGAGGCAGTGGGGGAGGAGCGGGGGAGACGCAATGAAGGCTGCGCTCCTAAAAATTCAAACCTAACTGAGGTTTAGCAGGGAAAAAAGGGATGATTTATTTGAACTTTATTTGGATTTTTTTATTATTAATTTAAGTTAGTTTTTTTATTTGTAATTTTTTCTCCCTGAATATTTTTTTTTTCCTGAGCAGGGTGAGTTTGAGCTGCATTAAATTAATTAAATCCTCCACATTTCTATTTGTGCAAAATAAAAATTGAATAAATTGGTACAAATGCTTGAATTGGAGTGAAGATGTGAGTCAAGAATTATAATTTAGGAATATTTCTCGAGAAAATGCAAATATTTAAGTTATTCCTGATCTCATCTCATTTCCATAAAGAAAAACTCAGTTTGCTTCGCCGCTCCATCCATCAGCGGCTCAGAGCGGACAAATTATTCCTGATTTCATTTACTGGTCTCCTGCTGGATCCCAACGGCCTCTCCACAGAGCCTCACATTCCCCTCTTCAGGAGCCGTTGTAATGGAAACCTCAGGTAAAAATAAAAACCAATTAATTGTTTCATGCTTTAATTTTTTTATATTAAAATAAAATTAAAACATTTTACAGAAATCCTTTTCATTTAATATATGAAGAGTAATTGCTTCTTTTTTTTAATGTCAACATGAGGTTTAAACAAAGCTGAAAATTATATGAAGTGATTTATTGTTTCCCTGCAGATTCGTGGAGCTCTGCATGTGTGTTTGTGTGTGTGTTTGTGTTACCATTCACATACATTTGCATTTAAATAGCGACATCAGCAACCGTTCACAGCCGCACACCGGAGGGTTTCCCAGATGTCGAGCAAAGTCAGACGGGCCAGCTGTCTCACACTCACGGCTGAGTCGGTGAGAAGCATTGATTCATGTACGCAGTTTAAACAGAGCATTTAAACTGCATAATCTCCTATTAGAACATCTGAACTCTGCTGTCTTTGCTTACAGGCTGCTGCCTGATCAGATATTTAGACTCAGCTTGTTCTTCCATAAGCTTTACTTTGACATGTTTATTTTTTGTTTGTTTTTTCTTTATTGAATGCAGATCTCCTGTAATCTCTTAAACTGATCTGGAATAGCAGTTTTCCAGGCTTCATAAAGGTCTTTCAAAACATTAAACTTTGTCTTATATTACTAATTTTAAGTTCAATCCTGAGCATCAGAGAAATGGTTTCTTAATACAGAAGCACTACAGAAGTGATTTACCGAAAAATCTCCATCAGTTTGACGTGACCTGGAATAAATTCTTGAAGAACCAGGATTAAATCCAGCAGACAGTCTTCAGTTCGGCAACTCCAGGATGGTTGGACAGAGAGAGCTTTAACTTTCACTTTATATCTGTCAGTAAGAAGTGAACCTCAAGGTGGGCATAGGCAAGTTTAAGGTAAGACCGCCTCAGCTGAGCTAAGTGCTCTCTATGTTTCTCCCTTAATAACAGGCCTGACCTGCTGAGATTAGACCATTGATATGCTGCTCCAGATCTCCACAGTTGCCATTCTACTACTTTCAGATGTACCTCTTCTACAAACCTGGATCCATTGAATGCCTCATCACCAGTCCTCTGCACAGCTGAATGATTGCTGGTTAGGGAATTCAGCCATTTAATTTAAGTGTTTTATTATGGTTGCCTCCAGAAATTGCAACGCAGTATCCGTTGAGAACCTGAGTTGGGTTCCCTGTATTAGATCCTTCATGAGAGCCTAGACTGATACATCTGAGCAAACCTTAACTTAGATGAATACACACAAAATCGCATAATACAAATCTTAATCTTCACATCAGTATGTTTCTTCTTTACTCTAACACCATCGAAAGACATAAGATTGTGGTTTCTGACATGCTGACGGAGTGTCAGATTGAGTTTTTTTTAGATATATGGCAAAACTTATATAGAATTTCCTCTGAGATTATTGCTTTACTATTAGATGACAAAAACAACCAGACAATGAACCACAGGTTGAGTATTAACCCATTTTATCTGCACCCACTTTAATGGATTCTTGTCAGAATTCTATTTGAAATTGTTAAACTGATGTAGTAATATATATATTATGCTTTTGCTTTTTTTATTTCCATATCCTAATCCATAGAATACCCCTGCCCCTTTCTGAAATGATTTTATTCATTTTTGTTCTAGCAAAGTAAGAAATAAAATAAAATTAAAATTAAAAATTGTAAAATATATATGTATATAATTTTCAAGTTATTTAAAGTCTTTCACTTAAAGAATTTAGGTTATACTATTGGGAGGAAATTGTAAAACACCACTGAATCTGAACATTAACAATGTTTCTACTATGATAGTAAAAAAAATGCACACATACTTTATTTAGTTGCATCTTGAAATCAAATTAAATGATTGAATAAGGACTGTGTTGATATAAAATTTTGACAGTCAGCAGTTTTCCTGTTGTCAAAACCTGCACTCTGTAAACCACATTTTTTTTTTCTTATTTATAGAACCAAAGCAACCAATTAAAAATGTTTTTTTAAAGCCATAGTCAATGATAATCAGCTGTTTTTTTTTTTTATGTTTCTTGCAGATTATACTTGCTGCCTTTTCTCGTTACCTTTCAGCTCAGATTCTGTTAAATTCTGCCACAGTTGGACTCTGAGTGTTTTTTTCCCTTCAGTTTCCTTTTTCTATTTGAATCAAGTGTGATTGATTTAACTTCAAAGTCAGGGTTCTGTGTTTTTTGTTACTGGTTCCGTTTTCCTCTAACATGTTTTCTAGCACCACTTGGAAAAAAAGAAGACACAACATATGAGAAGCAACAAAATGAGAAGAAAACGAGAGGAAACAAAGAACTCGACCTTCAGCTGGAAACACAAAAACACTTTCAGCTCTCTGATAGTGTGTGTGAGTGTGTGGGGGGGGGAGTACCTGTCTAGCCCTCAGAATGAGGACCATTTTTCCAATTTCACCATCAAATTGAGGACCAGTTGTTGCAAAGTGAGGATTTTTTTCCAGTCCTAACATGTTATTTTGCTAAGGGTTAGGTTTAGGGATAAAGTGTCATTTGGTTAGGGTTAGGGTGAGGTATGCATTGGTAATGGTTACTGTAGGTGTAGGGTTAGTTTTAGGGTTAGGGCATAGAAAGGGTGGAAAATGACTGAAAATCAATGGAAGTCAACACAAGGTCCTCACTACGATTGCAGAACGAGTATGTGTGTGTGTGTCTGCTGTGCAGGGATTTCCAGACGTCCCAGATCAGGGAATTCCCTCTGTCCCAACAGAACTTTGGGCAGACACGCAAACAGTGACATCAAGTGGGCAAAATGGGAGGTTCAGCAGGAATGAATATTTCTAGTTCTCAATATATTTATTTTTAGGGGAGTTCTGATTTTTCCTGCTATTCCAACCTTCAGAATGACCGTTTATGTAGATGATGAGGAGTTCAAAAGAAGCTGTATATCAGCTGGGGTCTGGATCAGAGGAATAACTTCTAAATTAAATCAAAGTTGCTTTCATTGAAACTATAAGAGAAGAACCACTGGACCAACCAGAAATTTATCTACCTAAGAGTCAATAATTTCAAATAATCATTTGTAACCATAAAAAAGAAACTGGACAACGATACATGTTAAGGATTTCAGTTTTGTATGAACCTGAAATTCCTAATCTGCTGCATTCAGCCTCTTTGATCCTCCAGTTTCACACATCAGTGCCTTGTCCTGTTATATGGGGACCCAAACAAAAAGATGAGGATGGGAAGAATGCATTAGGACACATTCTTTAGGGTCCGACACATAATTGTTGGTAAAAACTTTGAATCTGGCAAAAGTAATAAAAAAAAATTAAATATAAGAATAAGAAGAAATGTAAAAGAGCAAATTTAAGTCTAACTTTGCTTTTCAACCATGCTTCCACAGAATTCCACAGTAAAAAGCCTGGACAAAAATAATCCATTTAAAAGAATGAAAGTAATGTCAGCAAAAGGACATGAATATCAAGGTGTGTGGACTAATTAGTGTCACAGGTGTGAACAATCTTGTAATCAGTCAATGGGCGTATATAAAGGGCTACATGGTGTGTACAGCACTCAACATGGACCAACGGAAGTGAAGAGTTGTTTTAGGAGATTAGAATGAAAACTATAGACCTTTGTTAACCGTGAAGGCTATGAGTACATCTCTGAGCAGCTTGCTGTTCCTGTGACTACACACTCATCCATGTAATGGATTTCTAATCAACAGGGAATCTATTGATATTTCATGGAGTCACTAGAACAGGTTTAGCCCCAGCTATTATAATTTAGACCTTATCTCTGACAAGCATTAAGTGTCACTATTATTATCAAAATAGGTCACATTTTTGTATATTCAAAGACAATATGTGTAAATTAATTTTTAATTGGTTCTTCTGTTCTGAATAAGCTGCTTCTCTCTTGTCAGCAGCAAACTCTTTTTAAAGGATATCATCAGTAGTTTTAGGTCATCCTCCCATTAGCCTACTCACAGGCTCCTCCTCCTCATATCCATGCAATATATAAAAAGATTATCTGTTTATTGGCATCTGATAATGGGTGGAGCTCTCAGTCCACTTGCATCCAGGGTGTCTGCAGCAGACTTATTTCACACCTGAGGATGAGTTTGAATACAGGGCAAACAGCAAAATCCACAGACTGAAGAAATAAATATAGTCACCAAAAGGTTTCCCATTTCCTCCCAAAAATTGACCAACCTTCCAGTTAATGGGTAATTCATTACTGAGCTGATTTTAATTCATGAGATGTGAAGCAAAATCCTTTAAAGGCCTTATTGAGGGACCCATCAGGTGATGCATTATTAGGGATATAATAAAAAAGAATACAAAAAATCTACTTTTTTTCTGTTGGGCTCCCCTCTCTGTGAGTCCAAACTGGGTACCTGAGTTAATCATTTCAAATTTTATTAATCTTTTCTT